ATCTTTTATCATTGAGTACAATAATTTCCTTTTTCATCTGGTATGCTCTATTTCTAATGCTTTATAATGCATTTTTCATCTTACTTATTATATTCTTTAGCTCAACAATTTCTGTTTAATTTTTTTTTAGTTTCTATAGTTTGGGTAATACACTCTTTTTGTTCATTAATTTTATTCCTTAGCTCATTGAACTGCCTTTCTGAAATTTTTTGTATTTTGTTGATATTTTCAAAACTGTAATTTTAAACATTCTGTCATTTAAATCAGTCTTTCATGTAGTTGAGTTTGGTTTCTGGAGACTTCTACTTCTATGCTACTATGTTACCTTGATTATTCATGGCAGTTGATTTTTTTTTCTGCCTAGACATTTCATTTCGTGAACTTTCCTTATATTATTTTGTTCTTACCAGTTTAGCAGGTTGATAAATTGAGGGTTTTTTCTTTTGTTTTGTTTTGTTTTCCAGTAAGTGGTAATATAGCACAAGCTTTTGTGTTCTCTTATCTGCACTGCTTGCACTTTCAAGATCATCATGGGGCAGTGTCACTTCAGCCATGGAAAATGCCATGTACCCACTAGGATTGCGATGCAGGCCCTTCTGTTTGAATCACCTTGGTCTCAGGGAATCACCACTATTATATGGGGGAATATGCAGATTATGAGGAACTAGGTTTTCAGGTGTCATGCATTACCTTCTTGTTACCAATGTACACTGGTTTCAATTTGTTACTTTAGGCATTTCTACTGTCTCTATAGCACAGGTGGCAAACACAAGGCCTGCAGGCAGAATCCAGCCCTCCACCTTATTTTATCTCCCCTGGCACCTTGTTTCTACCTGGCAGAAGGGTTGAGCTCCTTGTTCCTAATTAGGGAGTAGTTACATTTATTCAGTCCTAAAATTACATTCAGCCCTTTTAAGGCCACCACAAGGCTGATGTGGCACTCAGTGAAAATGAGTTTGACACCCCTGCTCTACTGTATTCCACCCTGACAGGCTGGAGGAGAGAGGAATGTTCACAAGTTTGTGGTGCTTCTTCTTTATTGGTAACGGCTATTGAACAGCTGTGCTGTTTAATACATCTCATCTACTGCTGCTCATCTACAGGGTTTTGCTCCAATGAGAGGAGAAAAGGGAGCCAGCTTCTCAGATAAGGATTCTGCTCCTTCCCTTACTAACCTTCAAGTCATAGTATGAGAGTCCCAGCCCTACTTCTTCACCACTACTATGTAGCTGGGGCCACAATGGTGTCTGTGGCCACTGTGCCTGAGCTTCCCTGAGTCTACTTCCCCTTCTTTTTTGAATATATTTTATTGATTATGCTATTACATTTGTCCATTGCCCTTCTTCACACCCTTCTGCCCTGCGCACCCCCTACCATGCACACCCCATCTCCTTTTAGTTCATGTCCATGGGTGATACATATAAGTTCTTTGGCTTCTACATTTTCCATACTATTCTTACCCTCCCCCTTTCTATTTTCTACCTACCATCTATGCTACTTATTCTCTGTATCTTTCCCCCTTCTATCCCCCCACTCCCCTCTTGGTAACCCTCCATGTGATCTCTATTTCTGTGTTTCTGTTCCTATTCTAGTTGTTCACTTAGTTTGCTTTTGTTTTTGTTTTAAATGTGGTTGTTAATAACTTTGAGTTTGCTGTCATTTTACTGTTCACATTTTTTATCTTTTTTTTAGAGAAATCCCTTTAACATTTCATTTAATAAGGGCTTGGTGATGCTGTACCCTGTACATTTTTATTTCACTGAGCATAGCCTTCATTTTTTTCATCTAACTTGTGACCAAATTAACCAATTCTGTGAGCATCCTGATTACCAGTGTTTTGAACTGTGCATCTGATTGGTTGGCTATCTCTTCATCACTTACTTGTGTGTTTTCTGGAGCTTTGATTTGTTCTTTCAGTTGAGCCATTTTTTTTTTTTGTCTTGAGGTGTGTCTTATGTAGTGAGGGACAGAGCCTTAAATGTTCACCAGGGCGGAGCAACCCATGTCATTCAGTTGTGACACTATATGTGGAGGAGTGGTCTGAGAGGGAACAATGGTGCTTGCTCCACTCTCTGCCCAATTTCAGTCAGTTCCCCCACTTCCCACAAGCAAATGGGTCCCTCTAGTGCTGATTCCTGTGTCAGTAGGTTTGTGTACATTCTAGGACCCTGTGGGTTTCCCCAATGAACTTTTCTGTGAGGCTGGGAGTTTCTCCCACTGCTGCCTCAGTCCCCACAGGTATTTTCCATTAGTGGTTTGGGGCTTTCTTTCCCCACTCTGGGGCCCTGGGTTGTGCAGTGTGTCCTGCTGTGCAGTGTGTCCAGCTCCTCAGTTGTTTCTCCTGTTTTATCTGCACCTGAATGTGGGACGGCCCAGTCTGCAATTCGCCCCATTACTGGATCTGCCCGCTGCTGCCTTGCCAGCCAGCTGCAGCCTTGCCAGCCAGCTGCAGCCTTGTGTGCCCCGCTCCGCAACCCACTGCCTCGCTGGCTCCACCAGCCACCACCTTGCCTCAAGTCTTCTCTTCCCAGCTGCATGTCTCCACCCCTCCTACTGTTCTGGATGAATGTGTCTTCTTTAACTCCTTGGTTGTCAGACTTCCATAGAGTTCAATTTTCTGTGAGTCTTGGTTGTTTTTTGTTTTTAAATTGTTGTTGTCCTTCTTTTGACTGTGTGAAGAGACACAGTGTGTCTACCTATGCCTCCATTTTGGCCAGAAGTCTCCCCTACTCCTTCTAATGCATCCATGTGTGTGTATCTCTCAGGAATTTTGGTGTTAAGCAGAGAAACTTTTGACAAATTAAAGTTGTTCTTGCAAATGTAAGGGAGTATACAAAAAGGCATTCTCACTCTGCCATACTGCTGATGTTTCAAACATTTTTGAAAGTACATTTTAGAAACTTGTAGGGTCAATTACTTGATGGAACAGGTGATTTCTTCCTTTCCTTAAGTTTGCACATCCAAACACAATTACGGTACTTGGCACAGTAAAGAGCCTTTTGAATCAGTATTGTCCTTCTTTGAAGGCAATTTTAGTTAAAAAATACACACACATCTATGGAAAGAAATTCTATACCTATGAAAAAGTCTGTCAACATTGTATTGTTAAATTCAATAAGCAGCATAAAACCACATGTAACTTATAGCACAATAAATTTAAAAATATACAATTTCAAAATATTTAAAAATTCATAAATTCTTTAAATTGTTCAATTACAGTTGTCCCAATTTTCACCCATTGCTCTCCCCTACGGTGCTTATACCCTGCTACCTCAGTCAATCCTTAACCTGTTGTCCATTACCATGGGTTCTTTATACGTGGTGCTTGACTAGACCCTTATCCTTCTTTCTCCCATTATTGTTCTCCACCCTCCACTCTGGTCATTGTCAGTTTGTTCTTTATTTTCATGTCTCTGGTTCTATTATACTCATTTGTTTTGTTGATTAGATTCCACATATAGGTGAGATCATATTGTATTTGTCTTTTGCTGCCTGGCTTATTTTGTTTAGTATAATACTGTCCAGTTTCATACATGGTATCAGGAAGGGGAGGAGCTCCTTCTTTCTTTCTGCAGCATAGTATTCTATTGTGTAAATATACCACGGTTTTTTGATCCACTCACTTACTGATGGGCACTTAGGCTGTTTCCAGCACTTGGCTATTGAACATTGGGATGCACAGGTTCTTTGAGTTGGTGCTTCAGGATCTTTAGGGTACATTCCCAGCAGTGGGACTGCTGTGTCAAAAAAACCCATCAGTGGGTCCTTTTGTATTTGTATTTTTTATTTTCTGAGGAAATTCCATATTGTTTTCCACAGTGGCTACACCAGTCTGCATTTCCACCAACAGTGCACCAGGATTCCATTTTATCCACATTTTTGCCACCACTTGTTTTTGTTGTTGTTGTTGTTATTGTTGATTTTTAAATAATGGCCACTCTGACTGGTGTGAAGTGGTATCTCACTGTAGTCATAAACATTTTTGAAATATCAGAATATAAGTTTCAGTTACTTGTACTACAATTTTGGCCAATTTTAATTTTCTGTTTTGTATACCATTCTTTTCATTTTTTTCAAATTCTAAGTATAATTTTTAAATTTTTAAAAAAGATTTTATTTATTTATTTTTAGAGAAAATGGAGGGAAAAGGAAGGAGAGAAGCATTAGTGTGTGGTTGCCTTTCATATACCCCCTACTGGGTACCTGACCCACAACCCAGACATGTGCTCTGACTGGGAATCAAATCAGTGACCCTAAAAAAAAAAATGCTAAAAATAAATAAATAAAAAAATAAAATAAAAAGTTAAAAAAAAAATCAGTGACCCTTTGGTTCACAAGCTGGCATTCAATCCACTGAGCCACACCAGCCAGAGCCCAAAAATAATTTTACTAATATTTAGATAAAGTACACAAAAATGTCAAAAATGTGCAAAGCCAAAATTCTGTAAAGATTATATTTAATGTGATGAGTATGCTTGTGTTCTCATTAATTCAGTCCAGTCATGGTCACATGAAGATAAAGTTACACACATGTCAGGGGCTTTATTACGCTTATTTTTTATTTCTTTTTATTTTTTAATTTAAAATGTTTGTATTGTTGTTTAAGTACAGTTGCCTCCTTTTTGTAATGTATTTTATATTGTAATTTAAGAAAATATTTCAAAAATAAATTTTTGTCTTCACTTGAGGACTTTTTTTTCATCATTAGAGTAAAGGGAGGAGGGAGAGAAAGAGAAAGAAACATCAATGCAAGAAAAAACCATTTCTTCGTTGGCTCCCATGCACACCAGACCCAGGAATTCCAGGTTCCCAGATTGTGGATGAAACCTGCAACTTAGGCATGTGCCCTGACCTGTAATTCAAACCTGCAATCTTCCAGGTATGGGACAATGCTCCAACCGAGATACACTGGCCAGGGCTAAAATAATTTTTTAAAACCTTATTTCTTCCCAAGTTACTTATACGTTAATTAAATATCCACAATTAAGCACAGTCACCTGGATTTTTAAAATATTTTAATTTTTAAATTATAGCTGACATTTAACATTATATTAGTTTTAGGTGTATAGAGTAGTAATTAGACATTTATAAAACTTATGAAGTGATCCCCTCAATAAGTCTAATACCCAACTGGCAACATACCTCATTATTACAATATTATTGACTGTATTTCCTATGCTATACTCTACATTCCCATGATTATTTTGCAACTGTTAATTTATAATTTTTAATTCCTTCACCTTATCTACCCAGTGCCCCAACCCTCTCCCACTTGGTAACCATATTATTCTCTTTATCTGAGTTTGTTCCTGTTTTGTTTGTTTATTTTCCTTTTTAGATTTCACATACAAGTGAAATTATATATATATATATATATATATATATATATATATATATATATATATATATAATTTGCTTGCTCTGACTGATATCACTTAGCACTACCTTCTAGATCTATTCATGTTGCTGCAAATGGTAAAATTTCATTCTTTTATATGACCAAGTAATATTCCATTTTGTGTATGTATATAGATATATTTGTGTATATTCCAAATATTCTTTATCCCGTTTACTATTGATGGACACAGGTTGATTCCATATCTTGGCTACTATAATAATACTGCAATGAACATAAGGATGTATATGACTTTTCAAATTAGTGTTTTGGATTTCTTTGGCTAAATGCCCAAAATAAAATTGCTCACTCAAAGTATTATAGTTCTATTTTAAATTATTTGAGGAAACTTCACTCTGTTTTTCATAATGTCTGCACAAATTTGCAATTCCACCAACAGTGCATGAAAGTCCCCCTTTTCTCACACTCTTGCCAACACTTGTTGTTTGTTAAATTATTGATGATAGACATTCTAACAAATGTGAAGTGATATTTTATTGTAGTTTTAACTTGCATTTCTCTGGTGATTAGTGATATTGAGCATCTTTTCATATCTCTATTGGCCATCTCTGTGCACTATTTGGAGAAATGTCTATTCAAATCATCTGCCAATTTTTAATTGTATATTTTTGTGTGTTAGGTATTAAGTTCTTTATGTATTTTTAGTATTAACCCCTTATTCAATGTATCATTGGTGAATATCTTCTCCTGTTAGGTAGCTTGTCTTTTCATTTTGTTGATGGTTTTCTCTTTAAATATGAAAAACTCTTTAGTTTAATGTAGTCCCATTTATTTTTTCTTCAGTTTACCTTGTCCAAGGAATTTATATAATAAAAACAAAGAGGAATAACAAAGAATTTACTGTTTATATTTTCTTCTAGGAGTTTTGTGATTTTGAATCTTATCTTTAAGCCTTTGATCTATTTTGAGTTTATTCTTTTATGTGGTGTAAGAAAGTAGTCTAGTTTCATTTTCTTTCCATGCAAATGTAAAAATTTTCTAACACTATTTATTGAAAAGACTGTCTTTACCCCATTGCACATGTTTGTCTCTTTTGCCATAAGCATGTGTTTATTTTTGCAGTAGGGTTCTTTTCCATTGACCTATGTCTCTATTTTTATGCCAATAATATGCTGTTTTGATTACTATATTTCTTGCAGTATTGTTTGATATAAATTGTTCTTTTTTCTCAAAATTAGTGTGCAGTGTGACCTGAATTAAAACCACTAAAGTTATGTAACTCTATAGTTTCTTAATCATTTTTTGATATCATTACCCAATTCATGGTCATAAAATATCAGTGGTTTATCTTTTGAAATGGCAGGTATGGGCTAATAAGAGAATGGTTTATTAGCAGTTTATTATGACCATAGACTAACCTAACAAAAGGTGCTATCCTGGCTTCATTCTAATGTAGAATAGGTGTTTCTTAAGGAGAAAGAAGCAGTGGTGTATCATAAAGTGAATTGGACATGACAGCAGAGAGAAGGGCCACAGAGCTGGGTAAGCCCATTCTTATTCCCTAGCCCTTGCCATTACCCACCTTCACATACTGCACCTGCATCCTCATCATGCCCACAGTCAAAAGTTTCAACCTGCTCACATTCAGCCAGGGTATCTTCAGTCCCATTGCACATAGCTACCTGAATAAACACAGGTTGGTCCTCTTCTGCCACAGGTGGATATAACATGCCTGCAGGTGTATGCTTGGCTGCTCCACAGCCCAGCTCCTGGCACACCACAGCCACCTCGTTCATGTCCCAGCCATCGTCACACACAGTACCCCAGTAACCATTCTTTTCCACCTCCACTCTCCCTTCACAGCGGTGAGGACCATTCATCAAGCGAATTTTGATTGGAGGCCCTGCAAACAGAAAGAGCAGAAAACATTTGGAAATGTACTGTTATGGGAGCTCCCAGGGATAAGAGAGAGTGTTTAATTGTGGTCATGGTGTGTGGTATGAGCATGATTATAAGGGACTTGCTGAAGTAGGAAATTATAGAATTTTGGCTCTGTCCCACTCTATTATCATCTCTTAGAATCATCCCATCCTACCTAAGACTCCCTTTCAAAGACACCTGGGACTTTCTGATAATGAATAAATGTGGAACATATAGATTTATGGTTTAATTTTCGTGAGTTCAAAAATATCTTGGAAAAAAAGGATTCTAGAACTAGATCTTTCCTAGAAATGGAGGCTGAGACCCAGACTAGGAAAATACTTTGGGCCAAATCAATCACTCATTTTCTTTTTGAAAGCTGCAACATATCCTGTGGATCACTTCATCAACACAGGTCCATTTTCTCTGTGGAAAGATGGGTGTGAAGACATTATACAGGCTAGTTAATATGTAATCTCTCCCTGTTTGGTTTGTTTGTTTTAAGCTGGAATCATTTCTTAAAAACTTTATTCTTTAGGATTTCTAGCAGAAAGAAGATATGTAATTCCAGAGTTGTCATCTGTGACCAGCTTTGTTTGTCTGATAATTAAGCCAATGAGGAAATTCAGAGAGAAGGAAGGCAAAGACAGAACACTTGGATCCAGTTACACATTAAGTCATAGTCATTTCTGATCCTTCTTACCAATTTCACTTATTTTTTTTGCTCAGGCCAGTTTGTACTAAAATCTGTCATTTGCTACCAAATGATCTATCTTACACAATCAGTTACCAAGTTCATGACAAAACCCCTGCAAAAAAATATAAACTTTGAATAATCATAGGTAATAATGTGAATATAATTTTCAAAAATAATATATTGAAATGATAAAACATATGCAAAACTCTATAGATCCAGAATAATTCAAGCAACTAGATTAATTCAGTAGTAAATTAATAATAAACTGGGTATATCTTAAACAGAAAACATCAAATTCTTTTCAAATTCCATATATGGGATTTACAGACATGTTAACTGTGTATTAGGCCACAAAAGAATTTTCAGTAAGTTTCCATCAGGAAAATTTATGCAGGCCAAAAGTACAATTTAAAAATGTGTGAAAAATCAATAAAATAAAGGATCAAAATAAATTTATTTTATAAATAAATTTATTTATAAGAAGTTCATTGTTGGTGAGATTGCAGACTGGTACAACCACTATGGATAACAGTATGAAATTTTCTAAAAAATGGATCTGCCTTTTGACCCAGCAATTTCACTGCTAGGATTATACCCTAAGAACCCTGAAACACCAATCCAAAAGAACCTATGTACCCCAAGGTTCATAGTAGCATAATTTATATTAGCCAAGTGTTGGAAGCAACCTAGGTGCCCATCAGTAAATGAATGGATCAAAAACTATGGTACATTTACACAATGGAATTCTATGCAGCAGAAAGAAAGAAGGAGCTTCTACCCTTTGCAACAGCATGGATGGAACTGGAAAGCATTATGCTGAGTGAAATAAGCCAGGTGTTCAGAGACAAATACCATATGATCTCACCTTTAACAGGAAGCTAAACAACAAAACAAACAAGCAATGAAAATATAACCAAAGACACTGTGAAATAGAGAACAGGCTGACAGTGACCAGAGAGGAGAGGGGAGGGGAGTTTTAGGAAAAAAGGGGGAGGATTTACAGGAACTAGTATAACGGACACATGGACAACAACTAAGGGGGTGGAAATGGGTGGAAAGTGGGGAGCACTGGGGGGTGAACTGGGATGGGAGGAAAAGACAGAAAACTACTTGAACAACAATTAAATCAAAAAAAGGAATTACAAGTTTCAGGTTATAAAAATGAAAAGGTATTTATGCATACTTTAGAAATAAGACAAATGAAAATATTATAGCACACATCAACTTATAGAATGACATAGAAGTGGTACTTAGAAGAAAACAGATTTAAATAAATTTATAAAAAAACATATTGAGAGGGAAATGTGTCTGTGTTTAAGGAATTAAAGAGAGAATGAGGTAAATAAATTTAAAGCAAAAGGAAAAAAGTTATACTGAAGATAAAAGAAAATAAATTAGGAACCCCAAAACAAATAAATTTGAATACTAAGACTAACCATTGTGTTGTCCACTTTCACCACTTCTATTCAATATAGTATTGGAAGCCCTAACTACAGCAATTAGACAAGAAAAATAAATATAGGCATTCAAATTGGAAAGGAGGAAGTAAAACTGTCATTGTTCCCAGATGATGTGATAGTGTACAGAAAATCCTATAGACTCTACCAAAAAACTACTCAACCTAATGAGTGAATTGACAAAACAGTGGGACATGAAGTCGGGATTCAGAAATCCAAGGCATTTTTGTACACCAACAATAAATTATCGAAAACAGATATCAGGAAAAACTCATATTTGCTATAGCAACAACAACAAAAAATAAAATACGTAGGAATAAACCTATCCAAGGAGGTAAAATACCTGTATTTAGAAGATTACACAATACTAAAGATAGAAATTAAGGAAAACACAAACAAATGAAAACATGTACCATGTTCATGGATAGCAAGGGTTAACAGCATGAAAATGTCCATACTACCAAAACCAATTTACAGATTCAATGCAATCCCTATTAAAGTACCAATGGCATTTTTCACAGATATAGAGCAAACATTTCAAAATTTTATATGACACCAAAAATGACCCTGAAAAGCTACAGCAATTTTTTAAAGTAATTCTGAGAAAGAAGAACAAAATATGAGGAATCCGCATATAAGATATCAAACTGTATTACAAGGCCATAGTAATCAAAACAGCCTGGCACTGGCATAAGAATAGACACATAGACCAATGGAACAGAATAGAGAGACCATAAATGATCCCAAGTCTCTATGGTCAATAAATATTCAACAAAAGGGGCAGAAGCATAAAGCGGAGTCAAGATGGCTTCTTCAACAAATGGTATTTGGAGATGTGGACAGCTACATACAAAAAAATGAACCTTGACCACCAACTTACACGATGCACAAAAAAATAAATTCAAGGTACATTAAAGACTTAAATATAAGTTGTGAAACAAAAAAGTCCTAGAAGAGAACATAGGCAGAGAAATATCAGATACTCCACTCACCAATATTTTCACCAATATGTCCCCTGGAGCAAGAGACATAAAGGAAAGAATAAACAAATGGAATCCTATAAAAATTAAATCTGCATGGCTAAAGAAAACAGCATTAAAGTGAAAAAAGAACCAACCATGTAGAAAAACATATTTGTCAATGATACCTCAGAAAAGGGTGTGATCTCCAAACTATATAAAGAGCTTACATGGCTCCACTCCAGGAAGACAAATAACAGAAATAAAAAATGGGCAAAGAACTTGAACAGACACTTCTCAAAGGAGGACATACAGAGGGCCAAGAGACATGTGAAAAGATGCTCAGCATCACTAGTCATCAGTGAGATGAAAATCAAAACCACAGTAAGATTCCAATTTATACTAGTCAGAATGGCCATCATAAACAAAGCAACAAACAAGTGTTGGAGGGGAAGTAGAAAAAGGGAACCCTAGTGCACTTTTGGCGGGATTGCAGGCTGGAGTAACCACTATGGAAAACAGGATAGAATTTCCTCAGAAAACCAAAACTGTAATTGCCTTTTGACCTGGCCATTCCACGGCTGAGATTATATCCTAAGAACCCTGAAACACCAATCCAAAAGAACTTATGTGCCCCAATGTTCATACCAGCACAATTTACAATATCCAAGTGCTGGAAGCAACCAAAGTGTCCATAAGTAAGCGAGTGAATCAAGAAACTATGGTACATTTACACAATGGAATACTATGCAGCAGAGAGAAAGAAGGTGCTCCATCCCTCTGAAACAGCATGGGTAAGTCTGGAGAGCATTATGTTACATAAAGTAAGCCAGGCAGTGAAAGAAAAATATCACGATTTCACCTACAAGTGGAACCTAATCAACAAAAGAAACAAGCAAGCAAAACATAACCACAGTTGTTGACATTAAGAACAACCTGACAGTAGCCAGAAGGGAAGTGGGAGGGGAGCAAAAGTAAAAATGACGAAGGGTATTTAGGAATATGTATAAAATACATATGGACAATAGGGTGGTAGGACCAAGGGTGGGAAGTGGGGATGGTAGGAATAGAAAGGAGTGGTAGAAGGGAAAATGGAGACAGCTGTATTTGAACAATAAAAAAGTATGGGGGAAAAAAGAACTCACACTTGCTTTTCAAAAAAAGCAATAAGTAGACAATTCCCTGAGAAATTTTATTAAGAAATTCTAAGAGATCAGATTGACGTCCACCAAGATGGAGGCATAGGTGGAAGCACTGCACCTTCTCGTACAACCTAGTTTAAAAACAACAAAGTTTTAGCAACAAAAATGAAGCCAAACCACAGAAAATTGAACTACACGGAAGTCTGACAACAATGAACACTTCAGCCAAACTGGTAAGAGGGGCAGAGCCAGCAGCAGAGTGGGGTCAGGCAGGAAAGATCCACCGGACCAACCGAGCGTGACCCAGGTGCCTCAGCAGCCGTGGGTGGATCCCAGGTGTGGAGAGCGGGTGGACCCACTGAGGGCACAAGGTGGTGGACCCACTGAGGGCTGATCTCGGTCACACATTCACGCACAGATAAACCGGTGAAGGAGCTAGCAGTGAGATGGACTGCATAGGCCCCAATGCCAGGAAGCAGCAGAGGGAACCGCCATTGTCCCTATGTGACCCAGCACCCATGTACATCACCACAAACCAGCGACCTGAGTGGCCCTGCCCTGGTGAATACCCAAGGCTCCGCTCCTCATATGTAACAGGTACAGACAAAAACCTGGCTCAAGAACAACTCAGAGCCCCAGAGCCAATGAATCTAAGTGATGAAGAAATATCCAAACTTCCAGATGCACAATTCAAAACACTGGTGATCAGGATGCTCACAGAACTGGTTGATTTTAGTCACAAATTAGAGGAACATATGAAGGCTAAACTAATTGAAATGAATGGAAATGAGCAGGAAACCAATAGTAATGGAAAGGAAACTGGGACTCAAATCAAAAGAGTGGACCAGAAGAAGGAAAAAAATGACCAAACAGAAAAGGATGAAGAAAAGAAAATTCAAAAAAATGAGGAAAGGCTTAGGAACCTTCAGGACATCTTTAAACGTTCCAAAATCTGAATTATAGGAGTACCAGAAGGGGAAGAGGAACAGCCATGAGTGTAAACCTTATTTGAACAAATAAAAAGGAGAACTTCCCCAATCTGGTAAAGGAAATAGACTTCCAGGAAATCCAGGAAGCTCAGAGAGTCCCAAAGAAGTTGGACCCAAGAAGGAATACACCAAGGCACATCATCATTCCATTAGCCAAGATTAAAATGAAGGAGAGAATCCTAGAAGCAGCAAGAGATAAGGGGACAGTCACCTACAAAGGAGTTCCCATCAGACCATCAGCTGATTTTTCAAAAGAGACCTTACAGGCATGAAGGGGATGGAAAGAAGTATTCCAAGGCATGAAATCCAAAGACCTACACCCAAGACTGATCTATCCAGCAAAGCTTTCATTTAGAATGGAAGGGCAGATAAAGTGCTTCTCAGATAAGACCAAATTCAAGGTGTTCATCATCACCAAGCCCTTATTATATGAAATGTTAAAGGGACTTACCTAAGAAAAAGAAGATAAAATGATGAACAGTGAAAGGACAGCAAATACACAGTTATTAAGAACCACACCTAAAACAAAAGCAAACTAAGAGGACAGCTAGATCAGGAGCAGAACCATAGAAATGAAGATCACATGGAGGGTTAGCAATAGGGGAGTGGGGGAAGGAGAAGGGGGAGAAGGTACAGAAAATAAGTAGCATAGACAGTAGATAGAAAATAGATAGGGGGGAGGGCAAGAATTGTATGGGAAATATAGAATCTAAAGAACTTGAGACATGTGGTCATAAACTAAAGGGGGGGAATGGTGGGGGACGGGGTGTGAAGGGTGGAGGGGAATGAAGGGAGGAAATAGAACAACTGTAATGGCATAATTAATAAAATATATTAACCCCCCCAAAAAAAAGAAATTATAAGAGATCATACAATGAAAATGGAAAATATAAAGAGAGCATCATCACAGATATAAAGACTATTCAGAATTTAGATAATAATACAAGTCAACATTATGTGATGAATTCAAAAATCTAGATAAAAGACCCCAATTTGGGGGTGAAAGCATCCAAATTATTTTTAAAGGCTAAAAAAAATTAAAGACCAAGGAAAAATGTTTGAAAGTGGAAGCAAAAATCTACCTGACTCAGTTATTTGCCTAGTTCCAAAGAGTTTTAAAATAGCAGATAATTCCAATATTGTTTTAAATTGCTGCAAAGGACAGAAAGCTCCTCAAATCATTCTTATGAGGATAATCTGTCCTTGACACCAAAACTAAATGAGTATATAAATAAGACACAACATTTTTTAAAACTATGATTTTCTTTATTTTATTTTATTTATATTTTGAGAGAGGGGAACGGAGGGGGAAGAGAGAAAAAAACATCAATGTGTGGTTGCTTCTCACGTGATCCCCACTGGGGACCTGGCCTGCATGTAACCCAAGCATGTGTCCTGACTGGAAATCGAACAGGCAACCCTTTGGTTCACAGCTTGTGCTCAATCCACTGAGCTACACCAGCCAGGATGAGGACACAAAATTTTGAAGTAAAATATTAGCAAGTTTTTTGTTTTACTTATGATGACATGATAATTAAGAAGCTGAGTGAAATAGGCCAGGCATTGAAGGACAAATACCATATGATCTCACCTTTGACAGGAAGCTAAACAATAAAACAAACAAGCAAGCAGAATAAAAACAAAGACACTGAAATAGAGAACAAGTGGGCAGTGACCAGAGGGGAGAGGGAAGGGAATTTAAGGGGAAAAATGGGGAGGGATTTTGAGGAACAAGTATGAAAGACACAGGGATGAGGACTGGGGGGGGGGAATGGGAGGGAGGTGGGGAAACGGGGCGGGGGGGTACTTGAAAAATAATTAAATAAAAATTAAAAAAAGAAGGATTTATACCAGAAATTCAATGACTATTTTTATTAGAAAAACATTTAAATATACTGTACAATAATAAAATTTAAAAACATTCTATAGCCATTATGATATATTAAAATAGTAGCAAAGAGTAAAGTTTCTTGATTTTGCTAGCCCTAGATTAAAGTTTGGTTTTTGTGTGACCTATTAGCTGTGTTACCTCAGACAAGTGACTAAGTCCTAATTTTATTTATTAGTAAAAGGAGAGTTGTTATGGAGATTAAATAAGATACTCATAGTAAACTTTTGAATTCCAAAACCTGGTTTGTTCATGATGTTTCTACTTTTCCCTTAAGTATTCATGCGGCTTAGTTGTATCTACTTACTCATTGTGAGCACTCAGTATGGAAGTATTTTTTATTTTTCTCAGTGGTGTTTCCCTCTTCCCTCAGTTGTGTATTCATGCCTCACTTACCTCACTTGTAAAGCTGACTTATCCCAGCACAGTGTCCTACACATAGGGTCTGTTGTTCACATATACCTGATTATATCAAGTAAAGGGTAAATAAAAAGGGAAGTTGTAGACCAGTGATGCCATTGTTAAGATCAATGGAAAGGAAAGCCTGAGAGTAGAAAGACTCTTTAGTTTAACTGTGATTCCCTGAGGGACAGATAAATTCTATGAAAAGAACAAACAAGCTATTACTTGACATAATTGCAACTAGTCCACTGAAAGACTTTGGACATGTCCTACCTGTGATGTTGAGTGCCACCATCTCACTGCGTTGGGCCACCAGGCCATTGTTTGCCTCACAGAAGTAGTTCCCATTATGCTTTGCAGTCAGAGATAGATTGAAGGACACTCCTCCTCCAGAAGTCACTGAGATGTTCCCAAGAGAGATATTTTCATGATAAAATGAATACAGAACAGGAGGAGATGCTCTCTTGTCTTCACAGTGAAGCTCCACCATGTCCCCAGTAGAGATCTGGTTCCCAGGAACACTGATGGTGAGGAGAGGATGTGACACTGGAACTGATAGAAGTAATAGGGTCCATCACAGAGTGTTTCTTCTGTTGATATAGACTTACAACCTATCTATTCTCACCCATGTGTCCTCAAAATATCTCTCCAGCACCATAGATTCTTTCTTACTGTCATACCTCCCAATCTAATGCTGCAGAGACAGTTCTAGAAGACTTTTGATGACCTCTGATGAGCAAGTCTGGAAAATATACCTCTGGTCATGCCATATACTGGCCTTGTATCTGTCCCTGTCATTCTCCTTTTACTCCCCTGCTAATGTTACTCCTACCACCACTACCACCACCACCATCATTGCCATAACGATATTAGCAAATTAACCTTTTTATTGCACTTGTTCTTGAAACAGCCTTAGTGCAATGCAATGAAACTGCCCAGTTGGAAATTTCTGGCTAATTAAAAGTGCTACTTACTTCTCACAGTGATGTTCACTGTCTCACTCTGGATGAGGTTGTGGTTATTGTCAGCTGTGCAGTAATATCCACCAGCATGGCTTTCCCTGATAACAGGGATCACTAGCTCTGATCTCTGAGAATGCACACTTTTCCTCCCCAGATTTTCCCTTGTGTCTTCTTTGTGCCAAGAGAATGAGATTTCCCCTGTGCCTTCAACCACAGAGCAGACAAAGACCAGCCTCTTTCCTTCAATTGCCTGCCCCTCTTGGGGTTGGGTCTCCATAAGCACTCCAGACACAGGGATTCCTGTGTGAACACAAGATGACAGGTGAGGGCCTGGTGTGGAAGCCAGTACTACCTGGTAGGCTTTGTGGCAGGTGCAGTTTTGAAATCAGTGTTACTCAGATAAATATTTTTAGTAGGAAGGAAGCATTCTGAGGGCCACTAGGCATGAGCACCCTGCAACTTAATGGTCTAAAAATCTGACCTTTCACTTCCTACACATTAATTAGCCCTTTCTAATGATCACAGATCAAATTGATCTTACTCTCTCATGATCTCCTGATGCATTTGGGACAGAAGTAGTGGGAAAAGCACAGGCTGTGGAGTCCTCACTCAGCTCTGCCACATATCCATTGTATGATACTGGTAGGTCAATGAATCCTTCAGATCCTCAGTTTCTTAAAGATAAAGTGTGGATAATCATGCTAAGTTCGTAGAGTTCTCATATAAATGAAACAATATACATGTATAAAGCAAGTACTACACTACAGATGTTCAATAATTGGTGGGTATTTTGAAACCACATTCCACTGGCATAGTTGAGATAGGATAGCAAAGTGGGCACATACTAGCACCAGATTGCTCAGCTTCAAATTCCAGCTGTGCTACTTACTTACTGGTTTACCTTGGGCATGTCACTGGCTCTGTAAGTTTCCTCATGTGTAAAATTGAAGTAATTATAGTACCTACTTTACAGATATTATTCACACGTCAATACTTCACAGATTTGTTGGGAGCACTAAATATAAAACTGCTCTGAGCAATTCCTTGTACTTTGCAAATTTATATAAATATTCTTTTCTCTAGCTATTTCTGAGTCTTAGAGGAGCTGTTCCAGAACTGAGGACAACAGCTTCTCAGCCAGCCCAGCCATTGATACTCACTCTGCACATGCATATAGGATTGATGACTTCGCTTTGTGACACTGTGTGATGATGTCATTGCCTCACACCAGTAATATCCTGAGTCTTCTTTCCATAATGCTGAGATCCAAAATTCTGATGAGCTCCATTTTGACATCAGGGTGTGGCCATTCCTGAAGAAGGAGTACTGGAGCTGTATTCTTGACCTATCTGAAGGGAGTTGGGTATCACAAGACAAGGTCACTGAGTTTCCTTCAGTGGGCAGCAGGGGTCTGGCTGTCAGAACAGGTGCTGGAAACAGCTCTGAAGAAAAGAATTAAACAGAGACCACCAGTCAGTGAGGTTCAGATTTCCTGTTGACATGTGCCTTATCTTCTCAGCCCTAATGAGAAGGACATACAGCCCCACACTCAAAGACAGACAGTGACTCAAAATTTCTGCCTACATAGGTGGTCTGCTCTGTACTGTACATTGATCCTCCCATATAGGCCCTACCTGTTCTCAGTCTCTTCTACTTGAATAGTGAGACCCTCACCTTTGACAGTGAGCCATGCAGATCTTGTTTCTTCTGTCACATCCACAAAGAAGAAAAATTTCCTATCTGCTTTACAATAATAGGAGCCACTGTCACTGGGTCTTGCATTTGAAATGACATAGCTTGAGGTGCTGTAATAAGTGGATATCCGAGATCCATCCTTATAGTACATCAGTCTCTTTATTTTATTATTTTCTTCTCCATAGCATCTCACGACAACCTGATCTCCTTCATAGGCATAGTGTGGCATATCGATACTTAGCCAGTCTGCAGAAGATGAAAAAAAACTTGTGCCAATGCTGCTTACCATGTTCCAACATTCTAACATCTGTTCATATGGGGAAAGATAGTGCATACACATACACAAGAAGCCAGGCAGCCACAAATTCCTTAGGATCTGCAGAACCTTCTGGCTTTTCTGATCAGTAAAAGTGAACTCTATTTCATTTAATGACATCTTTTGTCTTCTACACATTCTGCTAATTTTATGTCTGTTAAATATGTTTTGATCAATTTTTTCAGTTGTCAAAATTTCTTGAACTAAATATATATTTTAAATAATTTCACTTAAATTTTCTTATATTCATTCAAGATGATCTCATGTCCCTGTGACAGTCATGATTAACTTTCTATGCATCTCTCATTACTTAAAGGTTTAGCAAAGCAGTACAATTCAAAGACATATTTTGTCATTCTCTATAGAAGAAACAATCTGGGAAACTGATAGATCAGCCCAGAGATCTACAATTTTAACATCTAGAATTTTCTACTTGAATGTATTTTAGAGGCTTCTGGGAATATTCTTGTTTAGATCATTGCCTCTCCTTGGAAGATAGTGGTCATCAGAGAACAAATGAGCAACTTGGTGTTTTGGATCTTCCCCAGAAAGAAAAGAAAAAAATTCTTAGAATAGAGAGGAGCTAGTAGACTCTCCTTTAAAAGCCTATGCAAAGGAAAGAAAAACCAGCCATTATACTGCTTTCTGATGCAGTCCTGCAGCTTTGGGTATTTTGGAGAAAATTTTTAGTTGTTGAAGGAACTGGAAACTGAGGCTCTAATATTAATTTGGAATTATAATACACTGAGTTAAATTTCAGAGAAAATGTTTGTTCTAATAAAAAGCTTATTCCCAGGCCTGAACATTAGACCATACCCCCTGTGTATAAAGAGACTTAGCCTCAGATATGGAGAAAACAAATGAGGAAAGAGACAATGTGTGAATATTTATTTAAGCTGTCTGCCAAGTTCACACCTCTAGTCATAAGTTTATGGCAGAAAGAAGAAATACCCATTCTCAGAGTCCTGTCTCAGAACAGAGACCATCTTCTTATGAGATCTAGACTCAGTCTCCAAAGCGGAATTCAGAAGGAGGTGGGGAAAAAGCATTCATAACTTTCATATTATATTAAACATTTCTAATCTTTTAAATGTATGTATATATTTTACAATGGTCAAAATATTTCAATATAGAAATCAATATAATATGTTGGAGGTAAATGCTCAAAATTTTGTTCTTGATGGAGCAAAGTAAATCAAATAAGTTCAGAGACAACTGCCACTTTGAAAGGTACATTACTAGACTATGAGGTTCGAATGAATGGTTGGGGCATAAATACTGTTAAAAAAAGAAGTCTTAAGCCCTCATTGAAGTAAAAAATTTTCCTTCTGTAGATTGAGACCAGGCAAAGTTTTCAGTGAAGAGAATAGAGATAATATCAACTTGATTAAATAAACATTTAAAAAGATATATGGCCTCCAACCAACATTGAGGCATAGACAACTTTATAAAACACACACATGACTAAAACTGCAAGAAAGTCAAACTGTGTGGAAGTCTGACAAACAAGGAATTAAGGAGAAACATCCATCAAGGCTTTTAGGAAGAGAGGAGATGGGCAGCTGTGTTGAAGAGGACATGCGACAAGGTGAAAGCTGGCAGACTGGCTGGCCCCGCATTCATGTGAACATAAACTAGGTGGAACAACTGGGGAATGAGAAAGACTGTGCAACCCAGGTTTCCAGATCCAGAAAAACAAAGTCTTAAAATCTCTAAGTGTAAAAACCTAGAGGATTGTGGTCATGAGAGAAATTTCCAGTTCCACAGACTCTGTTGTAGAGGCTCATGGGGCCCTTAAAAATACACAAGGCCATTCACTCAAGAATCATCACCAGGCAGCACTTGAAAGGTCACAATTTGCTTGTGAGTAATAAGGGAAGTAACTGAAAAGAGGGCAAGAGCTAAGCAAGCATCATTGTTCTCTTTCTGATGCCTCCTCCATATACAGTGCTACAGTGTAGCAAAGTGGGTTACCTCGCCCTGGTGAATATCTAAGGCTCTACCCCCTTACAACATAACAAGTGTGCTGAGACAAAGAAATCTGGCCCAAATTAAAGAACAGATCAAAATTCCAGAAAATCTAAGTGATGAGAAGATAGACAATCTATGAGATGCAGAGTTCAAAACATTGGTAATTAGGATGCTCAGAGAAAAGACTGGGCATGTCCACAAAATAAAGGAAGATGTGAAGGCTATACAAAATGAAATAAATAAAAATATACAGAGAACCAATAGTAAAGAGAAGGAAACGAAGACTCAAATCAATGATTTGGAACAGAAGAAAAAAATAAACATTCAACTTGAACAGAATGAAGAAAGAACATAAAAAAATGAATAGAGGCTTAGGAACCTGTAGGACAACTTTAAAAGTTCCAATATACTAATCATAGGGGTGCCAGAGTGAGAAAAGAAAAATAAAAAAAATTGAAAACTGGACTTCCGCCAAGATGAGGACGTAGGTGGAGGAACCACCTTGCCTCTGTGCACAACCAAATCTAAGAACAACTATTTTTAACAGCAGTCACAACCAAGCCACACGGAAAATTGAAAATACGGAGTCCAAAGGACAGCTAGATACTCAGCTGGTCCGGTACAAGGAGTGAAGCCAACAGCAGAGCAGGTTAGCAAGAAAAAATTCCCGGGTGGTGCGCAGTGCGCGCACAAGCAGCCATAGGCGCTGATCGCGAGCGAGCTAGCTACGGGAGCGCACAGGGAAGAGGTGCGGCGGGTCGGTCAGTCGCGCATTTACATGCGGAGAAACCAGTGAGAAGGGAAGCCTGTGCGGGGCAGCAGCCTTGCACAATTCTGATAGGATAAACAAGCCCACCCGAGGCGTGTGGTGTGACTGGACAGGCTGGGCTAGCGGAGAGGACCACCATTGCTCCCTCTCTGACCACGCCCCCACACACAGCGTCACAAACCAGCGACCTGGGTCTCCCCGTCCTGGTAAACAACTAAGGCTTCGCTCCGCTTACTTAACAGCACAAATAGACCAAAAATGGCTCTAGGACAACTCAGAGCCCCAGAACTGATAGATCTAAGTGATGAAGAAATAGCCAGTCTTTCAGATGCACAGTTCAAAACACTGGTTATCAGGATCCTTACAGAACTGGTTGATTTTAGTCACAAATTAGAGAAACATATGGAAGCTAAACTAATTGAAATGAATGGAAATGTGCAGGAAACCAATAGTAATGGAAAGAAAATTGGGACTCAAATCAAGGGAGTGGACCAGAAGGAAGAAAAAAATGATCAAACAGAAAAGAGTGAAGAAATAAGAATTCAGAAAAATGAGGAGAAGCTTAGGAACCTCCAGGACATCTTTAAACATTCCAACATCCGAATTATAGGGGTACCAGAAGGGGGAAAGGCACAGCCACTAGTGGAAAACTTATTTGAACAAATAATAAAGGAGAATTTCCCCAAGCTGGCAAAGGAAATGGACTTCCAAGAAATCCAGGAAGCTCAGAGAGTCCCAAAGAAGTTGGACCCAAGAAGGAACACACCAAGGCACATCAGAATTACATTAGCCAAGATTAAAATGAAGGAGAGAATCCTAGAAGCAGCAAGAGCTAAGGGGACAGTCACCTACAAAGGAGTTCCCATCAGACTGTCAGCTGATTTCTCAAAAGAGACCTTACAGGCAAGAAAGGGCTGGAAAGAAGTATTCCAAGTCATGAAAACCAAAGATCTACAACCAAGATTGCTCTACCCAGCAAAGTTTTCATTTAGAATGGAAGGGCAGATAAAGAGCTTCTCAGATAAGACCAAATTCAAGGAGTTCATCATCACCAAGCCCTTATTATATGAAATGTTAAAGGGACTTACCTAAGAAAAAGAAGATAAAAAAGATGAACAGTGAAAGGACAGCAAATACACAGTTATTAAGAACCACACCTAAAACAAAAGCAAACTAAGAGGACAGCTAGATCAGGAGCAGAACCATAGAAATGAAGATCTCATGGAGGGTTAGCAACAGGGGAGTGAGAGGAGGGGAAGGGGGGAGAAGGTACAGAAAATAAGTAGCATAGACAGTAGATAGGAAATAGATAGGAGGGAGGGTAAGAATAGTAGGGGAAATATAGAATCTAAAGAATTTGAGACATGTGTTCATGAACTAAAGGGGGAAATGGTGGGGGAGGGGTATGCAGGGTGGAGGGGAATAGAGGGGGGAATAGAGCAAATGTAATGGCATAATCAATAAAAAAAGTTTAAAAAATTGAAAACTTATTTGAAAAAAATAATGAAAGTACAATCTCCCAATCTGGTAAAGGAAATGGACATAAAAGTCTAGCAATCTCAAAGAGTCACAAACAAGTTGGATCCAAAGTAGAACATGCCAAGACACACCATAATTAAATTACCCAAGACTAAAGATAAGTAGAGAATGTTAAAAATAGCAAAAGAAGTGAGTTAGCTACAAAGGAGTTCTCACAGGACTGTCAGATGATTTCTCAAAAGAAACCTTACAGGCAAGAAGGGGATGGAGAGAAGAATGCAAAAGTCATGAAAAGTAAGGGCCTACATCCAAGATTGCTCCATCCAACAAAGCTTTCATTTAGAATGGAAGGACAGATAAAATGCTTCACAGATAAGGCAAAGTTAAAGAAGTTCATCATCGCCAATTCTCCATTTTACGAAATGTTAAAAGGACTTATCTAAGAAATGGAAGATCAAAACTGTGAACAGTAAAATGACAACAATCTCACAACTATCAACAACTGAACCTAAAAAAACAAAAACAAACTACATAAACAACTAGAATAGGGAGAGAATCACGGAAATGGAGATCATATGGAAGGTTATCAATGGGGAGGGAGAGGAAGGAGAACAGGGGAGAAGGTACACAGAATGAGAAGCATAATTGGCAGGTACAAAATAGACAGGCAGAGGTTAAGAATAGTATAGGAAATGGAGAAGCCAAAGAACTTATATGTACATCCCATGGACATGAGTTACTAGGGGGTAATGCTGAAGGGAATGAGGGTTCCAGGCAGAGGGGGATAAAGTGGGAAAATGGGACAAGTATAATAGTATAATCAATAAAATATACTTAAAAAAGAAGTAAGAAATATGTGACCAAATTGGTAATAATGACAGGGATAAAGATAAATAGAAAATGATGACCTCTGATTATACTAAGCCTGGAACAGAAATTTGACTGAAATATACCTAAGTAAATGACCTTTAACTTTGACATTTTACCTGTTCTTTAAAGGAAGGCATAATTTTATATAACACACACATTTTACCATAATTTCAGGAAGTTTACTGGATTGAATGAGGCTGATACTGAGACCCTCTAATATATTAATAAAAACACTTGCTTAAATTGCATCAGATATAATGCAATTTATATAGACATAAAATGACCAGATATATAGGTATTAACTATCCTCCCTATAATAAAAAAATGCTTTTTCAAATAAATGATTAAAGAAGAAAATGTAACCCTCCAGTTTAATATAAAACCATTTCCTTTTTGTTTTATTACATTAGAACTTTAATGATGACGATGATGATGAAACCAAGTTATACAGGGGTAGTTTGTAATCCAAGTAAAACATCAAGGGATCATTTTGTTAAATGCAGAATATCTTCTTAGCTTTCTGGTTACCTTTTTATTGTAGGAAATAGGTTTTCAATCACTGCCTCCAGTGTTTCTGACCAAGGCTTTTAAGTTTCTGTGACTGGACCAGAATATTTCCCAAGATAATATTTCATGATTTGTTTTCTCTTTGTAGTTAACTTATTACATGCCCCTGGACTTTATAGTAAAGAGAAAATGATGTATTGTCTTGAAATAATTGGGGTAAGGTCTTTCACACAAGCAGATGGTAGGAAAGCATAGAGGAATGTGACATTGGAGCATTTATACTGTGGCTGGGACTAGGTTTGGGGACTGGCCTCCCACTTTCTTCACCCCATTTGTGGACCTAATCCCTGTAATCCTCAGCTAAGAGACTGGAACAGGCAGTACCTCCCTACCCTGGAAAAGTATGTATGATTCCCAGTTATCTAAAAGAGAAAAGAAAAGAATAACTTACCTGATGATAGGCCAACAGGAGCTGTGAGGCAATAGTCAAAGAGATTAGCACAGGACCAGTATTTTTACACTTAAAAAAATGGTGTAACTCTCTTAGAATGTTTTCAACAATTCTCTTCCCCCTTCTTTTCTTCTATGTCTTCTTCCCTCTACCCCAGGTATTTATTCCTTTCTACTCCCCTCATTCCTTTTATTTTTTTCTTCATCTCTCCTTTTGTCTTTCCCTTACTCACAAAAAATACTCCCATAGAACAAAGCACTTATTTCCTAAGGCCCTAACATTTTATAAACATAGTGCATCCCATTATCAGCTGGTTATTTTGTAGGTAAATTATCAGAAGTGTCATGATTTACTTATTCCTCTTCCACATTATCTTTTTAAGACTGGTTATTTTCTTTGAGACATATTGCCTGTCTGGTGGCAACACACAAGCCAGGAAATCCCAGAAAGAAAATGGAGGTGTCCTCTCATATATCATAGACACTCTTTCTCCCTTCTTTCCTATTCTAGTTCTAGTATCATGCTTGCATTCATATACTACAGTCATATTTATCAGCAAAATCCACAGTTTCATCTTTAGGTAGCAGGACTTGAAACCTCTCCAAAATTTCAGTCTAGGAAAGTAAGAGTTAAGCCAAAAATGTGGTACATTGGAGCAAAAGTGGAGTTGAAGCACAGTGATATTTAAATGGTCTAAAAATAGAATTTAGCCTAACAAAACATTTCTGTGATATCCTTTAAAGAATTTTCCCAATTTTCCCAGAGATGAAAACATTAATACATGTTAATCAAAGGGAGAATGCACCAGTATTTGGAAAAGAGATTCATAGTCCTTTGGTTTTCCTGGAAACCTTGCTCTGCTCAGTACCCATTTATGTAACACTTGTTGGCCCTAGGTTAGAAGCTGAAGATCATCCCAACTCATCCCAGCAGAGAGAGTTGTTCTCCATATGAGGTTCTGGGATGACTAAGCACAGGTGCTTCTGTTCTGGTTACTCCCAAGTTTTGCTCTAGTATTCTACTCACAAAGCACCAGAAGCAGTAGCCACAGAAACATAGGATCAGAGGAGAGAAGTTCTTCTAGTGACAGTCAGGTGCAGCTCCAGTCCCAGAGTACAGTCTATCCAAGCAGAATGAGAAGCCAGATTTTGGCAATTTGGATCATCAGCAATTTTATACAAACAGAAATTAGGAAGTAGGAAATTTCTGCAACTCAGCATCCTCCCTACCCTCAGTTTTGTGAGTGCTGAGAATATAAATGTTTTTTATAGAGTTCTACAGTTATATGTGTATTGACCATAAATGCTCCTTAAAATGTAAGGTGTTTTTATCCTATAGCTAAGTTCCCTTTAAAGAATCTTTCTTACTTGCTTTGATTTTGCAAAGAACATTAAATTTTAGAATTGCTAAAATTTAAATTACTTGCTGTTCTCTTTCCAAAGAAAATCCACTTTACCATGGAGGATGCATGCCTTGTTATGCAATTCTAATATTGTGACACCATGCCAACACTGCATGGATGCTGACCTTTGTAATTTCTCCCAAACCACATTAGGAGACAAACTGAAATTTGTTACAAACAATGGTGGAATTGGGGTGATATTAGATAGCAATATATTTGGCCTAGGAACTCAGGAGGATGGAAATTCTTTCCAAGTCAAATCATTTCTGCCCATGAGATTTTCCAGACAGAGAGGCAAAATGGAAGAAATAAGAAAATAATCTATGGTGTTAACCTGAGGCATTAGTTAAAAAATGATTGTATAGTGTTCTGGAGGACATCAACACACATACATAACAGATAATATATCTTTTCTAATACTCAAAATTTAAACAATATATTATGGAAAACAGTCCTTATATCAAGGTGAAAGTAAATCACATTAGTGATTAAAAGAAGAAACTTTACACAGCAATATCTTCACAGATATATCTGCAAGTACAAGAGATGTGAGGGAAAGAATAAACAAATGGGACTATATCAGGGATAACTGAGACAGAGGAATATGGCAGCAAGGTAGGCAGGAGCAGAGCTCCCTTCCCCCTGCGTGGAACACCTACTTAATCTTCTGAGAAACAGAGTGAAAAGACAACTGAATCCCAGCTTATATGAAGTTTGGAGACCAAAACTGTAAGAGACATTGAAAGACAAACAGTAAAAAGATTGTATTGGGACAGTAAGGTCCCTGAGACCTGCATGGGGACCAAAGCTGCTGTAGTCACTGACCACAGTGACTGTTCTCTGTTGCAGTGGTCAGCCATGGCTGCAGGATCTTTGGAGGACAACCAGACCAACAGCTCCCTCCTCTCCCAAAGCAGGGAAGACAGTGAGGAATCAGGAAAGACCTGGATGCTTGAAGTGTCTGGGGAAGATAAAGATGAGGTGGGAGATGCACAGAGGCAGTGTTCACCCACTGGGACTTCAGTCACTGGCTAGGCTGCTACCAGAGAAATTGGAGAGCTGGGTGAGACCTGGACAAGGGAGAAGAGTTGGGCTGTGTTGGACCCTGCCCTGGATAGTCTATGGTCTGGTTAGAAAGTTGGACTGTGTTGAAAGCCAGGGACTTGTTAAGAATGGTAGAGTTAAACAGGATAATTTTATTCAAAAACAGGTTCTCAGAAACTGTTTAAGGAACTATCATGCAGTAGCTAGCATGCACAATTGCTGGCTCATGCTGCAGCTGACTCATCAAGCAGCTGGCTCTGGTGATGGAGGGCAGCTGGCTCACACAGTGGCAATGAGCTGGCACAATGGCTTGCTAGCAAAGAGGAAGAAGGTGGCATGCTGCACAGACAGTTGGAGAAGACCACCTGAGGTCAGGGAGTTAGCAGTCCCCAGAGAGACTTAGTTTAGTGGGGGTGCTGAACTTCTCTGAAGATATTTTGAGTGCACAGCATCCAGGCCAGCAAAGAGGGAGAAGGTGGTATGTGATTTTCACCTAATCAATGTACTTCATGGACAGCACAACTGGTGGATTAAAGGCACCAGATGGCACAGATGGACAGTGGGGGCTCAGCAGTGCAGCAAGGACCTGGGCTGGAGGCTGGGCAACTGTGCATATTATGTCCTAGACCGGGCCCCCATTCTCATAATACCACAAATAGGGAGAAAAGCTAAGCCAAGCCCCCCTCTGCCTGTGGCATCCAGTAAGACCACCAGAATTTCCTTGATTAGGTGGAAGCTGTGAATACCAATATACCTACTGGAGGAGAGAATCCACCAACAGAGGAAAAACCAACATGTAAAAACCCAAGTACAGGAGAACTGACATGAACAGAAGAAAGGGCAACCCTAGAGCATCCAGACAAGGAATTTAAAGAGCCCACACCACTGAATTCCATAGAATTGTTATCATAGAAGTTCACCCTAAAAAGGCAGATAGCAAAGAAGAACATCAGGAAGTGCATAAACAAACAAAAAAGTCACCTAAAATGGGGAGACAAAAAAAGATCCTGTAATCCAAAGGAATGAGAGACTTCCCACTAATAGAGCTAAATGAAATGGAGGTAAGCAAACTATCAGATATAGAATTCAAAATAATGGTTATAGGATGCTCAAGGAACCCACAACTACAAGGGACTGATTGAGAACTACAACCATATGAAAATGGAAAAAAAACTATAAATGAAACCCAGGAAGAAGGGAAAAATAAAATTTCTGAAATAAAAAAATTACTAGAAGGAATTTCAAGCAGACTGGATGGAGCAGAGGACCAAATTAGTGAGCTAGAAGACGAGGTGGGGAGAAACACCCAAGTACAGCACCTGTGTGAAAAAGACTAAAAAAAAAATGAATATGGTGGAAGGGAGATGGCAGAGAAGTGAATGGAAGTCACACTGACCTTCCTGGACCAATCCAGAATTAAAAATCAATTATAGAGAAACCAGCCAGAACAAACAACTGAGCAATAGCCAGAGAAGCATATAACTTTGGACATACAAAACCAGCTGTAGCAAAACCAGTCTGTTAAAGAGTGTGATGGAGACTCGAGAGAGCTGGCTGGGTGCCCATGGGTGGCTGTGCCAGTGGGATAATTAAGTGTCCAGTTGGATCCCCTGAAGAAGATTTGGGTCTAAACCCTGAGGTATGATTCCCAGATTAGAACACGAGCCCAAAAAGTACAAAGACAACAACCACTGGAAAAAGTTGCAGGGTTGCTCTCTGCCAGAAACAGATGGTTGAAGATGCAATGGTCATTTGAAGGGCCAACACACACATTTTCATTTGCAGCCACTTACCTCAGGCTCATGCAAAGGCAGGGGCAGCATAGACTAGAGAAGCTTGAGAAGAGACTGGGTACAGAGGCTTCGGGAGAGAACTGAGAGAGTAGCCATCAGGATCCCGATGCTGAGTCATCCTCTAGATGGTAGCAGCCTACGTGCTCAGGCAGACAACTCCTCTCTGAGTGGTAGTGGACTGAGGGAAAGCAACAGCCCTGGCCCAAGTACAACCTCTGCCCTGGCCCTTTGGTGCTTAAGCCCAACTGTTAAGTTCCAGTGACAAGATAAACAACCGAATGGTTGGACAGGTTGGACTAGAGAGACTTAAGCAGAGATTGGGGATGGAGAGTTTTTTTGTTTGTTTGTTTGTTTGTTTTTTTTACTTTAAAGGTTTATTTTCATAATCATTTCTCTTTTGGGGGCTTTTAATAATTTTTTTTAATTTTATTTAGTTATTTTTCTAGTACAGTTTTTTGTTTATTTCTCCCCATCCCAGCCCCGCCCCGCCCCGTGCTCCCCGCCTCCTTCCCATTTCCACCCCCCTTAGTTCTTGTCCCTGTGTTCTTACTATTTGTTCCTCCAAATCCCTCCCCCTCTTTTTCCCCTTAAATTCCCTTCCCTCTTCCCTCTGATCACTGTCCCCTTGTTCTCTATTTCAGTGTCTTTGTTTTTACTCTGCTTGCTCCTTTGTTTTGTTGTTTAGCTTCTTGTTAAAGGTGAGATCCTATGGTATTTGTCTTTCAACGCCTAGCCTATTTCACTCAGCATAATGCTTTCCAGTTCCATCCATGTTGTTGCAAAAGGTAGTAGCTCCTTCTTTCTCTCTGCAGTATAAAATTCCATTGTGTATATGTACCACAATTTTTTGATCCATTCATTTACTGATGGGCACCTAAGTTGCTTCCAACTCTTGGCTATTGTAAATTGTGCTGCTATGAACATTGTGGTGCATAGGTTCTTTGATATTGATGTTTTAGGATTCTTAGGATATAATCCTAGCAGTGGGATTGCTGGGTCAAGAGGCAGGTCGATTTTTATTTTTCTGAGAAAATTCCATACTGTTTTCCATAATGGTTGTACCAGTCTGCAATCCTACAAACAGTGAACTAAGGACCCCTTTTCCCCAAAACCTCTTCAACACTTGTTGTTTGATGCTTTCTGATGGCCATCCTGACTGGTGTGAAGTGGTATCTCATTGTGGTTTTAATTTGCATCACTCTGATAGCTGTCAATACTGAGCATTTTTTTTGTGTATCTCTGGACCCTGTGCATGAACTCCTTGGAGAAGTGTCTCTTCAAGTCTTTTGCCCATTTTATAGTTGGATTGCTTGTCTTCCTACAGTGGAGTCATGTAAGTTCTTTACATATTTTGGAGATTAAACCCTTGTCTGAGGTATCATTGGCAAATATGTTTTCCCACACAATTTGCTCTCCTTTTATTTTAATACTGTTTTCTTTAGCCATGCAGAAGCTTTTTATTTTGATGATATCCCATTTGTTTATTCTTTTCTTTATATTCCTTGCTCTAGGGGACATACCAGTAAAAATATCGCTGCATGAAATATCTGAGATTTTCCTGCCTATGTTCCCCCCTAAGACATTAATAATGTCATGGCTTATATTTAAGTCTTTTATCCATGTTGAATTTATTTTGCTGTATGGTGTAAGGTGGTGCTCAAATTTCACTCGTTTTGCACGTAACTCTCCAGTTCTCCCAACACTACTCGTTGAAGAGGCCATTTTTCCTCCATTTTCTGTTGCTGACCCCTTTGTCAAATATTAATTGACCATAGAGACTTGGGTTCCTTTCTGAGCTCTTTGTTCTGGTCCACTGGTCTTTGTGCCTGTTTTGATGCTAGCACCAGGCTGTTTTGATTACAGTGGCCTTGTAATATAAGTTGGTATCAGGTATTGTGATCCCTCTTACTTTGTTCTTCTTTCTCAAAATTGCAGCTGCTATTCAGGGTCATTTATGGTTCCATATACATTTTTGAAGTCTTTGTTCTATGTCTGTGAAATATACCAATTGGTACTTTAATGGGTACTGCATTGAATCTGTAAATTGCTTTGGGTAGTATGGACATTTTAATGATGTTAATTCTTCTAAACCATGAACACGGTATATGTTTCCATATGTTTGTGTCTTCCTTAATTTCTTTCTTCAGTGTAGTTTTCTGTATACAGGTCTTTTACCTCTGTGGATAGATTTATTTCTAGGTATTTTATTTTTCTTTTTGCTATATTGAATGGGTTGTTTTTCTTAATTTCTGCTCCTGCTGGTTAATCATTGGTGTACAAAAATGCCTTTGATTTCTGGATATTGACTTTGTAACCCGCTGTTTTGCCAAATTCATTTACTAGGTCAAGCAGTTTTTTTGGTAGAGTCTATAGAATTTTTCATGTACACTATCATGTAATCTGCAAACAGTGACAGTTTTATTTCCTCCTTTTCAATTTAGATGCCTTTAATTTCCTTTTCATCTCTGATCACTGTGGCTAAAACTTCCAATACTATATTGAATAGAGGTGGTGAAGTGGACAACCATGTCTTGTTCCTGATCTTAGTGGGGAAGGTTTTAGTTTTTGCCCATTGACTATGATGTTAACTGTAGGTCTCTCTTATATGGCTTTTATTAGGTTGAGGAATGCTCCCCCTATTCCCACTTTGCTGAGTGTTTTCATCATAAATGGGTGCTGTACCTTCTCAAATGATTTTTCTGCATCTATTGATATGACCATATGATTTTTGTGTTTCCTTTTGTTTAAGTGATGAATTACATTTACTGATTTGTGAATACGGAACCATCCTTGCATCCCACTTGGTCATGGTGTATGATCTCTTTATTGTATTGTTGGATGAGGTTTGTCAATATTTTCTTGAGGATTATAATGTGTATGTTCATCAGTGATATTGGCCCGAAGTTTTCTTTTTTTTGTTTTCTCTTTGTCTTGTTTTGGGATTAGGATGATGCTGGCTTCATAAAAATATGGTTTGGGAGTCTTCCATCACTTTGCATTTTTTGGAATAGTCTGTGAAGAATAGGGGTTAGCTCTTCCTTAAATGCTTTGTAGAATTCTCTTGTGAAACCATCTGGTCCAGGGCTATTGTTTGTTGGGAGTTTTTAGATAACTGCTTCAATTTAATCTGCTGTTATTGCTCTGTTCAGGCTTTCTGCTTCTTCTTCATTAAATTTTGGAAGGTCATATTTTTGTAGAAATTTCTCCATTTCACCTAGGTTTTAAAATTTCTTGGCATACAGTTCTTCATAGTAATTTCTCACAATCCTTTGTATTTCTGTGGTGTCACTTGTAATCTATCCTCATTCATTTCTGATTGTGTGTATTTGTGTCCACTTTTTTTGATGAGTCCGCTTAAAGGCTTGTCAATTTTGTTTATCTTTTTAAAAAAGAAGATCCTGGATTCATCAATCTTTAGAATTGTGCTTTTAGTCTCTTTGTAATTTAATTCTGCTCTAGTCTTGCTTATTTCCTTTCTTCTATTTACTCTGGGCTGTCTTTGTTGTTGTTCCTCAAGTTCTTGTAGGCATAGGGTTAGGTTGTTTGTTTGAAATGTTTTTATCTTTTGTAGGTATGC